GTCTATCATTCATACATCCTTTGAATATTGCTGCCATATCTAGTCTGGTGCTCCTACTATATGCTTAAAGATTCTTGATAAAATTCAAAGAAGAATCCACAATTTTATTGGTCCTGACCTGGCATCTTGGCTTCAATCACTTTGCCATAATGTAGCTTCCCTGTACCTTTCCTATAAATATTTTCATGGTAATTGTTCTGCTGAACATTCCTCTATGGTACCTAGACTTTATGAATTCAAGCGCAGTACTAGATTGGCAACAAGGTCTTATCAATTACAGTTGAAATGGCTATATGCAACTGTAAGTTCTATGCTAACAGTTTCTTCTATTACACTTCTTGTCTGTGGAACTCTCTTACAACTTCTTACTTTCTATTTAACTTTGATCTTCAAAAATTTAAATGCAATGTCAACACAACATTGTGTTGTCCAGCCTTCATCAGGTACTTGTCAACTGGTGTAATCTTCAGGGAACTTCAAACTGAACCTTTTAATTAATCTATGGGTAATAAATTGTTCTAATACTGCTGCCCATGTCTAAGGCTCTCTCAGGATTAGCAATAACTAAATAAGAATGAGATATTTTTAGACATGGGCTGCAGAATGAGAGCGATCTACTCCCCCATCCCATAGATTAGATAAAAGGTTCAGTTTAATGTTCCCTGAAGAATAGCCAGATTGACAAGCACCTGATGAGTGCCAGAGGACAACAGCCAAAATGTTGTGTGATAACAACAACAAAGACAAGGACAATAGACTGTATGTAAATAATGTAATGACAGGATTTATGAGTAGAAGATCAAATATAGATCAAGCATGGATAGGAATGCAACAAAATGATAGAATAAAGAACAAGTAGGAAACAGATCACAATCTAACATATTTCATTTTATTCAATTTTCATCAGAGATCAAAATAGACACAGATTAATGGTAAGTTATGTTTGGTTAATTCTTATTGCTTAGATATGTGTTATGTGTAATAAAGAACAGATAATATTCAATTATGTGTGAGAAACATTCTGGATGCTAAAGTGTGTAAAAGTTAGTGATATGCAACAAGATGTTTTGAAAAATTTTGATTCTGTTGGGTGGTGAGAGGGTTACAGGAATATATTGGGAAAACCTTAAGGAATTTAAATAAAGATTATATGAACACAAAAGGGATCATTTACAAAACAAGGCATTCAATGTATTAATTGTTCACTGTAATGAGTCTGACCATAATTTTGATTTAAAAAATGCCTCTTTCATTAAAAGAAAAAGCATTTACTAAGATGAAAATATATAGAAAGTGCTTTAATCACTAGAACATCCACAGTAAATATGTCTAGGTTCCTACAACATTTGACCTTTCTTGGCAGATTTTTTATTATCCCAAGACAAAAAGAAAAAAGAAACTAAATGGAATTGGCTACTAGACAATATACCCAAAATATATATTTAAAAAGATTTTTTAAATTAAAACTTAAAGTTTTCAGCATCTCCACTCCTTTATGCATATGTGTAGTCACATCAACATAAATATCACTTTGTTCGATGAAATAGTAAAAGATAAAACGTGCCACACAAAACTTTTCAACCTTGTTAGAAGGTGCTTGGGTTATGTCAGACCTGACATACGGTATTTCGTGGTTACAGCACCATCTCCTATAATATAATATATTGTCATATGGCACTATATGAGGAAGACGATGTTGTTTCTTCACCGGCTGTATACCATACTGGATTGTGCTACATTTGCTATCTCACATTTGTGTTGTTTTTGGGGGAACTTTTTGCCCTTCATTATGGCTCCCAAGCCTAAGGCAGACTTGTGAGTGCTTATGTAGGTGAATTCTGACTCTTGTCAAAAATCAGGTTACATCACACCATAGGAATGGATCTATGATTCAAGGATACCCTGAATATATATATATATATATATATATATATATGATTAATAAAATTTGTCACTTAGCTGATCAAAGCTATGTTCAGCACCTCAAATCTGGAGTTTCCTAGACAAACCTTGTTTGTCATAATTGCTTTGTCCACTCATCAGGAGATATCAGCATTAGTAAGAAACTAATGGATTTTATTTTTAGTCCAACATTATTTCTAAATTACTTAAATGTTATATTTTAGTAGATACATGTGTTTGAGTGGAAACCTTTCCTTTTTTCAACAGTGTGAATTACATCTACTGATCTGTGTAGTCAAGAGTCTTAATAAAGAAAATATGACCTCTGCTGTCCAAATATACATTAATCATATATATATATATATATATATATATATATATATATATATGTGTGTGTGTGTTTCATGTGCATACAATCATCAGGTACTGATATTTATGAACTTTTCAATGCAGGTATTAAAAAGTTTATAAATATCACTACCTGACAATTGCATGCACATGAAACTCAGAGTCATACAACTGATGTAAGTAATATGTATAGTTATTAATATATTTTTATGGCTCTGTTACATTACATTGAGCACTGTTTTGATTACACCAAAAACTAAATTAATATTTTTTTGCAAATCTGTATATGAATGCAATCACACATATGTATAGTTGCTCAGTGTTCTTTATTTAATATATATATATATATATATATATATATATATATATATATGAAAATCCTCCATATGTTGAGTTCATTTATTTTGAAAGTTTTCAACCCTGTTGCCATTGGAATTTATAACACACATCCACTAAAAACTGGTAGCACCTCAATGTTACAGTAATAACCTCAGGAATATAGAACTTTCGTTCTAAGAGAAATCCAAGGAGAACAGTGTTATCCATAACTGAAGAACATTTAAAGAAAGCAGTTCAAAGGAAAAAAATTGTCCCGGATCTTCTGGATTCAGAGTTAAAATAAGAATAATCCGCTTTGTTTAATCTAAATTATCTTCTTTCTCAGACATCATAAGCTACAACTGTTCCCTTACGACACCACTGAAAAAAATATGAATTTTAAATAATCCATTAAAAAGCATACGCAAACTCTCAGGAGGTTACTGGTTACTCATGAACTCAAAATTGAAAATATTTTCAATGTATTCAAATATTAGGTTGAGTCAGACGTATATTCTGTTTTAGGGAACGAATTGTAATGCCAGATGTATCAAACTAACTACTTATATGCAGCAGTTAAGAATAAATTTGGAAACTGACATAGATTAGTTTTTCTACTCCAGTGGCAGCATACACGGTGGATCAAAGGAAAAAAAAATTGTCCTCTCCCATGACAATATGAAGCAGTAATACAGCTAGAATAATACAAGAAAAAATTCATTTGGTCTGTTCAAATCTGGAAAGTAATTGGGCATGGATAAAAGTAGTTTGTAGAAATGCCCAACAAAGAAAATTGACAACGTTTGTAATAAGCAATAACAAGAGAAAGAAAAGTACAGGGCAAACAATATATGCAAGACAAAGTAAAAGTAATAAGGCAAAAAGTTCACAACAAAGTTGGATGAGACTGAGAAGTGGCCTATCTTATTGGCTAGGCAGAAATCCCAGCATGCATCTGTGTGTTTTGTTTATAAATTTGGGGATTAGGTGGAACTTTTGCAGTCATTCCTGCCAGATTGGAAGTAATATCTACCATATTCAACTGACCTTGAATCAACTGTTTTTTCTTCCACAGATCATACCTGAAATGCTGCTATTAAATACAATTATTACTTTGAATCATAAGTAATTTCGATTCTTGGAAATGAATTGTAATGACGAATGTATCATCCAAACTACTTATCATACATGTTAGTTAAGAATAAATATGGAGGTCACTAACATAAAACAATGTTCAATGCAAAACGCAGTGTATTGACAAGGATAAATCTTCTCCCAGTGTAGAATATATATATGTGGGCATAGGGTGCTTTGGATAGAGGTAGCACCTTTGACATCTGGCACATTGCACCTTTAGGTGGATTGGCATCACTGATTCTCAATCATCTCCCAAATCTTTCATGTGATGGCTCCAAGTTGCCCTGCCCTGGTAAACCATTTCAGTTGGTGGAGAATAGTGAACAGCTCAGCATGTTGGCACCTCAACAGCTTCTGGGGTTAAGGATGAAAGAAGAATAGTAATCTCCCAACTGACCCCAGATGGTATTTTTGTGTGTCCAGTGGGATAACTGAGACATTCATTTAGAGTTCTTAAAACAAAATGAAACACTAAATGCACATTTATATGTTCATCAGCTGCAACATGTCCATAAAAGTTTGGGTGGAAGTTGCCATGCACTCATGAATAGGAAAATGTTGTTCTCCTCCATGACAACGCAAGACGACATGCAGAAAGGATAACACTGGAAAATAGTTTGGAACTTGGTTGGTCTGTTCTACCCTATTCACCATTTCATGTGACTTTGCACTAACTGATTATTATTTTTTCAATCACTGCCAAACTTTCTTTAATGAAAACCAGATTCAATTTAATAAAAGTTGATCATTTTTGAATCTGAAAGAAAAAGTATTTGATAAGGATTGAAATTTTTTCAATGAAATGACTTGCAAGTTGTGCAATCAAAGATGGCAGCTAAATTTTAATCAGAAACTATTGATTCAAAGCCTAACCCAATTACTTGCAGTTAAGTTGTGATGCTGTCTGGAAGAGAGTCTGCTTTTCTCTCTTCCAATATCTTTGTTCATTTCTTTTTATTTCTTTTTTAGGCATCATCTTCCTTGTGAGTGGATTGGGAAGGAAAAAAGAAAGAAGCTAAGTGGCATTTGTTTAAATGTCATGGGGTTTGATTGGTTTTAAAGTGTTTAAAGTATTTTTGTTTGCAGTTAAAAATGTCTGAAAGATGATCAATTCACAGGCTTGATCCTAATCATAATGCCTCTTCATACCCACAGATGTGCACACACATTTACAGATATATATATAGAGAGAGATTTAGACAGATTTTATAATACTTGGTATTGTGTAGTTTACAATTATATAAAGTACTGACCAGATACAGAAAGGAAGACTCTGTTGCACCAATCTGCTGAGATCAGGATTGAAATGATGCATACACCATCCTAGATAAATTGATACAAGTAAGCATAAATTTACTGATATAGATATTAATACACCTGGGAAGAAAGAAAGAAAGAAAGAACAGAGTGCAGAAAGAGATAAAGAAAGAAAAGAGTGAAGAAAGAAAGAAAGAAAGAAAGAAAGAAAGAAAGAAAGAAAGAAAGAAAGAAAGAAAATGCACAGTGTGAAAAAAGAAGGAAAGAAAGAAAAGAGTGAAGAAAGAGAGGAAGCATAAAGTGAAGAAAGAAAAAACAGGGTGAAGAAAGAAAGAATGAAAGAAGGAATGCAGAGTGTGAAGAAAGAAGGAAAAAAATAAAGTGAAGAAAAAGAGGAAGCACAGAGTGAATAAAGAAAGAACAGAGTGAATAAAGAAAGAAAGTAAGCACAGAGCGAAGTAAAAGAGAAAAAAGAACAGTGAGAAGAAAGTACAGAAGCATAAAATGAAGAATGAAAGAAAGAACAGAGCAAAAGAAAGAAGAAAGAGCAGAGTGAAGAAAGAAAGAAAGAAAGAAAGAAAGAACAGAGTGAAGAAAAAATAAAGTACACAGTGAAAAAAGAATGGACAAAGTGAAGAAAAAAGAAAGAAAGGACAAAGTGAAGAAAAAAGAAAGAAAGGACAGAGTGAAGAAAAAAGAGAGAAAGAAAGTTCAGAGTGAAGAAAGAAAGAACAGAAAGAAAAAAGAAAGGAAGTATAGAGAAAGAATAAGATAAATATGAATAGATTAAGGTAAATATAATAAATGTTGCTAAATTCTATTTGAAATTAATATTCTGTTGTCAAACATTAAATTATTGATTTTGTCTTAAGTTTAACATTTTTACTGCTATTTGGAAAACAAAAATAATTTTCATTGATACGATACTTTTAAATAAACTCCTTCCTCAATGCCATAATAGGTGTTATATTTGCATATTACATTTGCATATTACATTTGCATATAAATTTGCATATAAATTTGCATATTACATTTGCATATTACATTTGCATATTACATTTGCATATAAATTTTCATGTCACATTTGCATATAAATTTGCATATTACATTTGCATATAAATTTCACACACAAAATGTGGCAATTATTATGGAACATAGAAAATATCATTTTCTTTTTAAATATTCAGTAAAACTTAATTTTCCTTCTTTTAACTTTTTCTCCATTTTTTAAAAACTAATATAAACAGTGTTTCAAGTCAAAATTTTATCATTTTATATTTTTGTGTTCAACCCCTTCCCCACCAATTATTTTGGGAAAAATGTTTCATTTTCAGACACTTTTTTTTATTCGTTTTTAATATGGTAACTAAGAAACTGAGGTACCTTGAAGTACCCAAGCAGTGGCTAACACCTCTACCAGACATATGAGTTGACAATTGGACTCATTTCAAGCTCAGGTGGACATAAAAAGACTCAAGATCATCATATAAACATGTCTGTAGCTGGTTTTTGAATGTTATGTTTGGGACTTGTTTATTCATCCATATGTGAAAAAGGACACTTTCGGTAAAAACATATATATATATCTATGACGGGGAAAGGGTTAAACTAAGCAACAATGTAAATAAATCTGCAAATATTATAAATTCTACATTGAGGAGACAATGCTATTAATGAACATGCAGTATGGTTTAGGTTTTCTAAAATTGGTAAGTGAACAATTCAGTTGATCAATCAATAGATATATGAAAAGAATGCTGGAAAATGATCCAAAAACCTCAGTGAGAGTAATCTACTGATTAGAACTATTTCAAATCATTTAAAAGAGATGAGCAAGAAAAAAAGTTTGGTAAATGACAAACAAACTTTAGATGTTTGGAAACAGGTATTAATTGAGTTTAACAGTGTGAAATTTACATTAGTTTATATTGTATCATTCATTGTGATTGTTATGATAATACAAGTATTATAGCTATGCGTAATTATAATATATAATAATACATATAATATCTAATAATAATAATGAAAATTATGATATCTATGATATTATAAGTAGTGATTGCATTTGTATGCAGCCAATATTGGTCCTACAGTTGAAATACCACTACCATTACCTACACATAGTGAGCCTATACATAATGTCAACTCATCCATATATGGTAATTAGTGGTAGCACTAACCAACCACAACTACAGTGATGAAAAATGAATTTTGCATAACATTTTGGTACAGAGATCATTTTTATTGATTCATTTATATTTTTAAATAAACAACTTTCTCTATCCCATAATAGTCTATACATCTGCATTCACATTTCATACACAAAATATGACATTATGGGATTGAAGTAGTAGTGGTTTTTAGTATTCCATGATTTGTTTTCATTAGTTATATCTACATTTTTAGGCAACTATAGAAAACCTTTCAAGTTATCACTTCCATTTTTAATATTTGTATGCACTCAATCAGTGATAATAGAAAAAATGCCAAAAATGTTGTGAATGCAAGAATATCATGAATTCATTTGAAGTGTTGTACAGATTCTTGAAATCATTCTCTATATTGTTTTTGTTATTATCACAATGTTTTGGCTGATCTATTCTACAGCCTTCTTCAATTATCATACTTATTATAAAACCCAAGTTGTGTGTGTGTGTGTGTGTGTGTGTCTGTTCGTTTATATATTGGATTGGATTTCCTACATTTTTCAACCGATTTCAACAAAACTTCACAGGACTACGTAAAATTACCTTGTGGTGGTTCTGACAGCACCAAAAATTGGAAAAACACAATTGTTTTTGCACAAAATCAATTTGAAAACACAATTAAGAGGCATCACTGTTGCCAGAATGAAAGGGGGACAACTCATATCGAGTTATACTTATTATAAAAATCCAGGTTGTTTATGTGTGTGTGTGTGTGTGTGTGTGTGTGTGTATGTGTGTGTTCGTTTATATATGGGATCGGATTTCCTACATTTTTCAACCGATTTCAACAAAACTTCACTTTTTTTTGGCAGGTAGTGTTTCTTATTGTCTTGCACAGTTTTTCTTTATTTTTACATTCAGAATGCTTTAAAAATTCCATTTACAAGACAATTGTTTATAATAAAATTCTATTCAATCGGTAGACTCATAACAATTAAAAACAATGTTTTTGTTTGAGTTTGGGTTTGACCAATTCGTTAAAAAAAAAAACTAATTAAGACATGCGTGTCCGTCAACCTTAAACAATAAACTTTGTCAATTTTACTTTTCAGTCTTTATGATGGTCGATATACTTGATCTATCTCTTACTGTTACATCCCTGGGCAACTCCGGGCTCTACTGCTAGTTTGGAATAAAGTCATTATAAATGGAAAACTTGTTCAGACTTTTAAACTCATTCTTCTGATGCATTTACTCTTAAAACAGTGTTTTGGCTGATCTATTCTACATCCTTCTTCAGTCATTTGGCAAAAATTCATTATAAATATAAAAATTTTTCAGACAATTGAACTCATTCTTCTGATGCTTTTAATGTTACCATAATGTTTTGGTGGATTTGTTCTACAGCCTTCTTCTGTCATTCTGAGAAGAGTCTCAATAAATATAAAAATTGTTCAGATAATGTCTGGTAAGGCAAAGGCTACCTTGAGAATTATCCTCTCTGAGACAAGATCCAAATAATAAATATGGAACTTGAGAGTGAGGCAGTTGAAGAAAGTTATATTCACTGATCAGAAAGATATCCTCCATTCCAGTAACACCAAATGATTGATAAATTTCATTTATATGATTAAAGGGTTTATATATCATACATATATTAGGTTTCTAATGATGAATTTGTTTATATATTATACACATATTAAGTCTGTAATGATTAAAGTGTTCATACATTATACACATGTATGTCTGTAATGATTAATTTCTTTATGTATCAGATACATATGAAGTCAGTAATGATTAAAATGTTTATATATCATACATATATTAGGTCTGTAATGTATTTCTGTGAGAAAGCTTTAGCTAGATATCATTAGTAATTTTCAATGTATATCTGATCCAATGACATGCATTCCTCCTTACACTTGATTGAGTGTTCTCTCGTTACTTTCTTGCCCATCTCCATTCTGTCAATTAAGAAATCTACAGAATGTCTAAATACACCGGAAGTTATCTACAGGTTTCTAGGTGAAGCAAGAAAGGAAAAGAAGAAAAGAGACAGGAGGAGATGAAGCTTTTATTTCAACAGATTTAGATGCTACTTTATTGCAACATTGGATTTCATGTTGAATGGAAAGTGAAACGTTTTCAAGACATGCATGGCACTACACTTTGATGGAAAGCAAAAAAAAAAAAAAATTAAAATAAAATTAACAATGATATAACCAATAGATCTATTATTGCATCATTTTTTTAAAAAAAATTATAGTAGCAGAGATTTAGTGAAATATTTTATTTGAAAATGGCTAAAATTATTTTTAATTTAAGTATAGGAAGTAGACATTAAATATAAATTCAAATCATTATTACAATAAGATTCTTAATTTTATTTTGGTTTATTTTCTCAAATAAAGTATTATGAGCCTTTATTATTAATTTTTGACTAGTATTTACTTTCATATTCATTTTTTATTAGATGAAGGATTGTCATCAATTATTATTAATTTTTGACTAGTATTTACTTTCATCTACATTTTTTAAATAGATGACGCAGTGTCAGCCATTATTATTAATTTTTAACTAGTATTTACTTTCATTTTTTATTAGATGAAGCATTGCCAGCCATTATTATTAATTTTTGACGAGTATTTACTTTCATCTACATTTTTATTGAAGCATTGTCAGCCATTATTAATTTTTGACTTGATTTTTCATCTTCATTTTTTAGTTCCTTTTTATTGAAACTTTTATTTGAACTGTAAATTTCTTTGGCAGTGTGTAGATAGTGCTGGATAAGAATGAAAAACTTTCTATAATATTCAAAATCATGTCCCTTTTACAAACCTGGTTGGAGGTATCAGCTTCTATAACTACTAATAAATTACTGCTTGATATATTTATAGCAAAGGAAATCTAACCTATAAACATATCAATTCTACCTATATTTTTATTAGCACCATATTTCTTTTGCTTTTACACTAATCATTTTAGTAGCAGCACTTTCAATTTTATTTTGTTCTTATTAAATAAAATATTGTCAAGGAGTATTATTAAATTCTTGATCAACATTTACTTACTCATTGCCACTAGATAAAATCCTCATTAAAATAGTTTATACATTTATGGAAAAAAAAGAAAATTTTCTTTGTTATACTTTGTTAAAGTAAATCTGATAAAAGTAGCAAATCATGATTTGGAAGCTTTTAGGATTAAGTATTTTCAATTTTTTAATGTATTTTTAAAAAATTTTATTTCATGCACACATCTAAAGATTTTTACACCATTTTATTATTATTATTATTATATATTAGGGTGTATCAAAATTATTTTCATTTTTTCAAATCTTAATACAAAGCTTATTTCATGTATACATCTAAAGATTATGACTCCTTTATATTATTATTATTTTATGTTAGTGTGTATCAAATGTATTTTCATTTTTTACAGACCTTATTTCAAAATTTATTTCATGTACACATCTCAAGAATTATCAATGACTTCATTATGGGATGGGTAATTATTGCGATTTTATATTTTTAATTTTGTACATGTTTGTTTTTGATTTTGTCAAGTGCACAGCATATTAGGGTCAGTTGGGGACCGTTTGAGAATAAAGAGCAGCATGATGTAATTCATACTACCAGAAATTTGAAAACAGCATGCTGTACTGCTTGGTATGCATGCTAGTAGCTCCAATACGAACATTTCAGAATGTCTGGATGCCAATCTGAGGATTTGAAAAGAGTTGGAAGAATTTTATGGTGATTATGAAGGTATGGAAGCTTGGAAAACTCACTGATCATTCTGATAAGAACTCCTGAATTTGCTGGTGATGGCCTCAGACTCAACATGGAGGCCTACATCAAATGACTTGAAGTGATACTGCTGCCACGAGTCAAGAGGGTGGCTGCTGGAAGACCCTATGTCTAGCAACAGGATTCTGCACCATGCCACACAAGCAGTACAAGACTGTCATGGCTGTCAGATAATTTCTGTGACCACATCATCCCTTACATCTGGCCACCTAACTCCCCAGACAGCAACCCTTTGGTTATTATGCATGGGGCGCAGCTGAGTGACAGACCAACAAATCTCCTTGTAATACCAAAGATGAACTGAAGGCAAGGATTACGGCAGCATTTACCAACTTAAACAAGGAGACCGTCTTGAAGAGTTGCAGGAGATTCCAAAGTTGTCTGGAGGCCATTGTTGAAACCAATGGTGATTTTATTGAATAAATTTACTCTTAAGTATTTCAAGACATTTTTGTGTAATTTTAGTAAATATGTCAGTTAAAATGAGATGTCAGTGTTATTTTGATTTTTGTGTAATTTAGACAATAATTTATCCATCACACCCTGGATATTATGGCTTATCAAAAGTATTTTCATTTTTTCTATGGTCATTTTCTTCGAAACTTATTTTATGTACACATCTAAAAACTACCTAGGATTTCATATTTTTAAGATTATGATTTTTATATATGATTTTATATCAAAGATATTTTTGTTTTTTTGCAAACCTTTACTGACAAACTTACGTAATGTGATGGCAGAAAGGTGAATGGAAGGTATGGTAAAAAGACAAACGATAGGAAGTTGTGGAGAGTCATGATCACCCATGCCCTGGAAGAGCATGGCACACAGAAGAAGAAAAACATCCAGTGGTTGGAAATTAGAACACAACTTTTGCAGGTCATGTCATTAGAGTTTCTCCATTTCTATGTTTAGCAATTAAATCACTGAGAAAATCTTATATATAAAGTACAGTGTATGCATGTGTGTGTATGTGTGTGTGTCTAAGAAACTTCTCCACTCCCATTGGTCTGATTTCAATGATTCATAGCTCATTCAAAAACCCTGGAAAAGTTAGGGGTATTGAACGATTTTCGTTGAGCTCAGATTCAGGGTTGCAAGATTATGAGAAGGTAAAGATATATATTAATATATTATACTAGCCATTATTGTTGCTTTCATGGTTCAAGGGGAGTAACTCTTATTTTCCTTTTCTATCCAAAATTGCAGTGCACGTTTTATTATAAACTAGCTTAAAAGGCACTCTATTGGGTGGCATTTAAGCTAGCTTCTGTGTAGCACTTCTGGTTTGGCCTTCATCACAACAGCTAAGGAGGAGTAGATGTAATAAGCAACAATAAACTACAGAAGAACTCAAAATTGATCACTGCATTTAAGTATTGAATTAATGTTTAAGCTTACCTTTTAAAAGTTTAATGATAATTCATCTGCTGCCACTTAATTTAAAGATGATTCGATGTACATAGATCCTTATTTTCTGTACAAACAATTATTTTTATTTTATGGGTGACAGAACAGAGGACAATTTATAAGATAAAATTAATATAGTGTAAAGATGGGAAAATAGAAATTAGAATTAGTTATACATTCAAAATCTGAAGAGTTAGAGAAATATAATAGCTAATTAAGTAAAACCTATATTATGGAATCTATATGAATAAATGTGAAATTGGAGCTCAATTCTCCCACGAATTCTGAGATTAAAAAGCTACAACCCTACTTTATAGTAATTTGGTATTTACCTGACCCACAACGGAATCATATTGTGACATAAGGTTGTTGTAATGTGGGGGGCCCGAGCGCAACAGAACTGCCTCAGAGCGCACTCTGCCCAAAGACAGAGACGCAACTGAGAGATGATAAATAAACGTGTCACAAACTACTTCATATTAATTTGGTATTTACTCAACCCTCCACAAAGTCATGTTGTGACACAAGGTTGGTTTAATGTGGGGAGCCCAAGTGTATACATACAGACTAAGAAGAAAGATTGCCCAAGCCCCAGTAACCATCGGCCTCAGTGTGAGCCCTGATCTCTCTCTCTGGAGCAATGAGAGGATGTAGCCTCAGGCAGCTGTTCCCCAGAGCTGGGCAACTCTCAGTATAATTTTCCTCTGTTGCGACTATGTCCTTCAACAGAGCCACCCTTGAACCCATTCTACCTGAAGACAGAGACTCAACTGAGAGATGATAAATAAAATTGTAATTACTAAACTCCTCATGAGGTCAGGTTGTGACACAAGGTCAGTTTAATGTGGGGAGCCTGGGCTAAGAACAAAAACTGCCAGAGTCCTGCAACCATCGGTTGCACTGACTTTGTTGCAAGCACTGATCCCTCTCTCTCATACAATGAGAGAGTGTGGCTCCAGGCAGCTGTTCCCAAGGGCTGGCCACCTCTCAGTATAATTTTCCTCGGTTGTGACTCTGTCCTTCAATGGAGCCACCCCTGAGCGCACTCTGCCCAAAGACAGAGACGCAACTGAGAGATGATAAATAGGGTGTTACAAACTACACACTAAAAGCTCAATATCTGTATAGTTTAATTAATTTGCATATTGATTTTAAAAAATTTATTTAATTAATTAACTGTCATTCATTACTGTTCTTTTATTTGAGGATTCTTTTGATTTTCATATCAAAAATTGTTGTTGAGGAATATTGTCTTGTACAGTGCAGAAAAGTGTTTGAAATTTGCATTTTACTTTGCATTCAACAAGTTGGCATCTATTTGTAAAACTTTCCTTCACTATAACAAGCCAATTTATGAATGAAATCATTTAAAATTTTATATTTCAAAGATTTCAAGTAGTCAATATATCTTACTTTGTGAAATGATAGCAAATGGGTGAAATCTTAATTTAAGTAGACAAATCCTAAAGTAAACTAAAAAAAGAACACTAAAATGTCTTTTCAGACAAAGACAGATTTTGGAAACAATGTTTTCTTAATGAATAAAAAGAATTTGGTTTATTGCCACTTAAGTTATTCAACGAATCCTATTAGTATCAAGTAAACTGGTTATACTTGATAGCTGTGTGTTTGACTTACCTGATGGAGACAGTGACTAACACATATGGTGGGATGAAAAATAAAGGTTTGTAGGGGAGGCAGCCATTTAACAGCCATTCCATCAAAGCCTGATCTGGTCTTTCACTACAACTGATTCACCATAAGTGATCCTGAATTTCATCTTGCCATTGGATTTGAGAAAGAGTCTGGATCTTCACTATCTCTATTTTTTTTAACAATGAGGTTCGCTCTGTACAAGACCCAAGAGCCACTCCAATTAGACAGCTAAAGAGTAAATGACACAGTTTATGGGGATATATGGGGAAGATAACAGTTGACCCTAAACTTGAACAGGCCAAGATTGAAGTGATTGGGAAAGCATCCTGTTGTGATCCAGTTCCACAAAGCAGTGGTTTGTGAGAAGAAGCTGGAACTTACATTTTACCAATGAAATACGAAGGGAATGAGGGTGGTTTGCTACAATGGGTGTGGCATGGTGGGTCTTAGTCAGGTCTCCAGTTAGAACTTGGGGAAACAAAGGAATGTAGTTCATCTGAGCACTTTTCATGAAATAGCAATAGAGCAATAAGAGACCTCTAGTGTTTTGTCTGTGGGAAAGATATTGTAGGGTAGAAAATAATTTGTTACCCACAAGGATGCAGTGATGCTTTTGGGGGTCTATCAAGACTGTAAAGTGAAGACTAAGAAGCTCCTAGGTTATTAAGACTATCTATTTCTTTTCTATGTTCCCGCTTAGAGCAAGACATAGCACCACTCTTTATTTCTAAACGAATTTTCTATTCGAAGGTAAGACCTAGTTTAACTATTGAGCGGGCGTTTATCTAGAATGAAATTAATAAGTTGTCAAAACAACTTGAATTTTATATTAATTCTAGACATGGGTGTTTATTTAAAATTAAAAGTTTTTTGTCCTTCTTTGATTTTTTTCATTTCTGCAAATACTTAGCTAATGGTGATGAATTTGCCAAACGACGTGTTCACTTGAAATTTGAAAAACAGCTTGCCTTGCTTATTCGTTCCAGATTTGGATGTGACCCAAGTATTGAAGGTAAGCATATTTTCAACTATTCGAGTATCCACCTTTTGAAGACTGAAAGTGCGGTTTTGTTGTGGGGGTTAGAATTTTGTATTCCACCGATTAAGATTAATAAAGAGGAGACACTGGCAGCATTTGAGGTGTTGTTTTCCCAACTTGTACAGCATGTTCCTCTCTCACCGGATCATGTTGTTACAATGAAGTCCAGGTTGAAGGACTTGGCTTATCATTATTGCAACTCCTCTGTTGACTTGCTTGATTTTGTTTGGTCAAAAACTCATTTTAAGACTATTAAGTCTTTAAAATCTAATAATGACATTTATATCTGTAAACCAGACAAGGGTGCAGGTGTCGTTTTACTGGATTGAGTAGATTACATTCAAAAGATGTTGATTATTTTGAATGATCCAGAAAAGATTCTAAAATAGAAACGAAATCAGAATCCAGAAACGTCTGTTATGTTTGTTTAGAAAAGGTTACTTTTCTAAGGAGATTTATGATATGATTAGACCTTCTGGTTCTCTTAGACCGAGGCTTTATGGTCTTCCTAAAATTCATAAGAAGGACGTTCTGTTGAGACCCATATTATCAATGATTGGTTCAACCCAACATTCTTTGGCTCAATGGCTTTTGCATGTCATACAACCGGTTCGTACATTTTATACTAAATATTGTATATCTGATTCATTCTCATTTGTTGAACGTTTACAGGCCATACAGCTTTGCCCTGATACTGATTTTATGTGCTCATTCGATGTGTCCAGTCTGTTTACTAACGTACCATTAAAGGAGACTATTAATATTTGTGCAGAATCATTATATGAAAGTGTTGTGGATGTGTGTGTCGGAAAGGAATAGAAGGTTTGAATTATCAGAAGGTTTGAAATTGTGTGTGTTCAATAATCTTCCATCCACAACAATTAATACAAGATAGAGAACAAAGATTCATAAACATATTGTTTCAAAACATAACAATTGAATTTATTAATATTTGATATACATGCATGTGAACTGAAAAGGTAGGACAGAGTCGTGTCCCTTTGATTAGGTAATAGTTGTACCTGAGTTCATATTAAAAGGAAGTAATGAGTTCGTATTGAGTGTTTGGAATTGTATGAACAAGTAAGGTAGAGTTCAGAGATAATACTTGCATGAATTAAGTATTGTTCATTTAATGTCTGACTGGATCAGTCGAGACAGGAGTTCCTTTAGGGCCACATTTTGGCAATGTGTTGAGATGTACAAGTGACGTAGATAAGTTAGGCTTGAGTCAGGAAGAGCAGGAATAGTGAGAGATGAAAAGAAAAGAAACTCGAGTGAGTTTACACGTGTTGGGTTTATATATCTGCTTGTATCACATGATAGGATCAGAATTGACTTGGCGCCTAAATTGACTCTGCACGTGAGAGCAATCTGATTGGTTGAAACTGACCAATCAGCAAGTTGGATGTACTGTGATTGACCAATGGTTTCTCGTTGATATTTGTATGAAAGTAGGATGTTACTTACCAGATAGGAAGAGTGCATTTCCTAAAAAGAGGTAAGGCTGCTTTCACAAAGGTGACATTACTCCACCTCCTTTTCCTAGGGATGTATTTATTGAACTTATGACACTTTGTACTAGTTCTGTGGAGTTTAGCTTTGATAATGTCATGTATAGCCAAGTGGATGGGGTCCAGATAGGTAGTCCCCTTGGCCCTGCGTTGGCTGATATTTTTGTGGGCTACTACAAGTCATTGCTCTTTGGCAAACCTTTTATTTATTTCAGGTATGTTGATAACACTTTTGCTACTTTTTCAAATGAAAGTGAGGCCGTAAACTTTTTTAATAGGCTTAACTCCTTACACAAGGTTTTGTCCTTCACTATGGAAGTGGAGAAGGACAATTGTTTGCCTTTTTTGGACGTTGTTGTTGAGCGTAGTAGAGGGGGTTTTCTTACAAGTATTTATCGTAAACCTACCTTTACTGGGCTGTACATGAATTGGTGTGCATTTGCACCTACATCAAGGAAAATTAATCTTATTAAAACCTTGGTGTACAGGGCGCTCAAAGTTTGTTCTACTAGACTGGACTCAGAATTTGAGAATATTAGGGAGATTTTCCTTAGTAATGGCTATCCGGAAGCCCTTATTAATTATATTAATTAAGACTAGGGAATTTCATTTTCCTTAAGTCCAGGGGCTTTCTAAATGTCCGGTTTATTTGAAGGTTCCTTGGATTGGGGATAAGGGCCAAAGCTTAGTTAAGTAAGTTAGCAAGTTGGTTCCTGGTTGTTTTCCCTCTGTTGCTCTGTGTTGTATTTTTCGGACAAGGTTTGTGTTTCCATCGTTTTGCAAGGATGAATTGCCCTACATCAAATTAAGTAATTTGGTATATGTATTTAATTGCCAGTGTGCTGCTGGTTATGTGGGGTGTACAACCTTGCATTTGGAAACAAGAATTAATCAACATGTACCTTCTAAAATACGACATGGCAAAATAAATAACATGTGTTATCTTCCCTCTACAAATATGGAATCGGCTATTGCTCAACACTAGTAGAGAATATAGCCTGTGCCAAGTCGTATATGAAAGAGTGGTTCAAAATTATTCCCATAGCTGGTTCCAACAATCATTTGAAGATTTTGGAATCAATCTGTATAGGATTACGGAAACCTTCTCTTTGCCGGCAGAAGGACTTTGTGAAGTCCCTTAATTTGTTGGGGGATATTTTATTTTAATTGTCTCTCGCTAATTATTAACATGCAATATCCCCTCCCCTCATTATAAGTATATATACTTATATGTTATTGATTTTAGCATGTTTCCCCCTTTTTTTACTCTTCATTTTCGTTGTTGTTCTTTTTGTTTAATTTATCAATTTTTCCAACGATTTTCTCCTGATGAGATGTTGGACAAAAGGGCCTTAGGGACTATTACCATTAATAAATTCCTTGTATTTAAAATAGTATATATATATATATATATATATATATATATATATATATATATATATATATATATTTTCATTGAATACAACAGACAAGGTGCTTTGATTTAGTTTTTTATACAATTTCTCATGCGATCTAATTATTTTTCTTTTTGGATGATAAATTATATAAAAACTGTCCGAATGTTCTTTTTTTCTGAGTGCTTTCGGCTATACATTTAGCGATTTTCAAAGATTAAATATTTTAACTGTTAAATAAGAAATAGTTTGTTGTATGTATGTTTTATATAATGTTTCAAAACACGGTCAAGTTATTGTGTCCATGTTCATAGTTGATATTATTAACTATTGTTCTTTTTGTTTTTATTAATAAGGCTTCCATTATTTTTAGCTTTTTTTTGCATGTAGATAATGCTATTATATTTGTGTTGTCAATAAGTATGTTATGAATAGTGTCCGGTAGGTCTCCATGAATATTTAAATGAGATCTAATTGAGCTATGGTCAGAAAGTTATAGAGTGAGTCTTCATGTTAAACATGTTGTAGTGTGGCCTATATAATTATTTATAAATTTTGATTTATCAGGAATACAATTCCTTAATGGACATTTAAATTCATAAATAATATTTGCCCTATTTAATTTTGTTCTAAGAGGTGAATTATTATTTTTAACTATAAGGTTAGAGGTTTTAAATATTTTGTAATAAATAATTAATACAATTTTTTGCTATTGCCAACTGGTGTTGTCCATTTTTTTATAATGTTCTTAATTCTACTTTTGTCTTGTTTAAAATTTTCATTCATTTGATTTTTATAAAAAATATTAATGTTATTGTTTATGTTTCTATTCTTGTTGTTGCTATTAGCTAACTTAGACAGAAAATGCCTAATGTGGAAATCCAACAATTGACTAGGAAATCCATTATTAATAAACATTTATTTTACGCTGTTTAATTCTTTTAAGAAAAGCATATGAGAGGATGAATTCTTGTGCGCTCTCATGAGGAATATATATATATATATATATGATATATATATATATATATATATATATATATATAATTATTTATCTAAAAATATCATTCCATCACTACATAAGAGTTCTCATGTTTCAAAACAAGAGGCAAAAACTTCAA